AGTATATGCTTTTAGTTATTTTTATTTTTCCCCCATTGGTACCAAAATAACATTATCAGCGGTGGTCCTCCGTTCTGGTGACGCTCACAGCTATTACGACATCTAAATACACGTGGCCATTTAAGATGATCCGCGAACGAGGGGATCGCCGAACATCATCCAGGGCCGGTGTGAACTAAATAAACAAAGAATATATGAGGATAAATGTTTAATTTACCTCAACATCCTTATTTGTAAATTTCTTTGAAATGTATAGCTAATTCCAAAAAAAAATACTATCACAGCTACAGAGAATGGTAATTTATGGAAAATATTTGCAACAGTTATAATAACCTGTAACAATAATTGACCAAGTTAAATAAATGTTTTCTAATGCTAAATATAATAAATATATATAATTAGTTTATTAATTGATCATATATATTTAGTTAAAGTTTTGGTTTGATTTTGATTTATAACACATTCAGAACTTTTGAGGACCCCGGGGCCCCTTTTACTTGCACTTGTTTGACTAAGTTATACATACTACTAGTAAATATTTCAGTTAAATAAAAATATTGTATAGAAGACTAAGACGACGCACAGTGGTCCAAAAATGAAAATAGTTGGCCAAAAATCTAATTTTATTCAAAAATAGATAAAAATAATATACTATGAATAAATTAAACTATATTTTCATTCTTAATTAATTTTTTTTAATTATGAAACAATAAAAAAGTATACAATACAATTTGTTTTATGGGGAATTAAATATTTTTTATGATAATCATAAAATAACATAATATTATTCTTTTTTATGTATTTGTTATTACAATATATTTAAAAATAGTTGATTTATGTGAACTATATTATTCTGAATATTTATCACTACAATCATTCGTGTAAGTTTAGGAATTAAAGCCATATTTTTAATTTTTTTTTATTTTATAAATAAAATTTGTTCATAATAGAATGATTGACTCATCAAAATTCAACGGCTTACTACAAGGAGTTGCGCAAAAACAAGCAGCTAAATATTACACATTTTTGTTCAATAGATAATGAATGAATTAATTAGATGATACCAATATATCGTTGAAGCTCGGTGAAAAACATTATTAATTTTAAAGACTTTAAAAACGTATGAATTTATCTTTGTAATATTTAAAAACGTATACATTATCACTACTACTACGGGTCGGTAATAATCGTTATATGATAATTGTATCATTAAGTAATATCAGTCATTTATATATTTTATGTATCAAACGAAAACATTTTGGTTGACTTTTATTTTATTCGGTGAGGACAATTTCATTAAGAAATTATTACGAACCAAAAATGGCTGTATTTGTTAAAATTATATAAATTTTATCTACTTAAGTGTTTTATTTTTCCATGAATATAAATACATTATGCCATTATTGTTGTACAGTTGTATATCTTATGTTTTGTAGGAAATATATACAAAAAAAAAATTTTAATTTTTAATTAAAAATCATTTTTGGCCAACTATTTTCATTTTCAGACCACTGTGCTCTCTCGAACATACAAGCCCCGAGGCTCTAACTCTCCCTGCCTCACCATCCCACCGGCCCTGGATACATCAGACGCTTAAACAAAATGGCTGCGAGCGCGTAAACGAAAAGTATTTCATTCGATCGATACGGTATTGTGTTACCGTTCTGCTATTACACTATGACTAGTGGTTGGTCTTGAGTTGCGTGAAAAAAGTACCACGCACACTTTTTGTGGCGGCTGTATTGCGTACGGACATCCTTCAGTACTATAACGTTCGGTGTTCGTTAAGATTAGCGAATGTCCGCCGATAGAATTTTATCTAGTGGATCTTTTAAATTTTCTGGCTAGACTATCTATGCGCTAGATACTCTAAAGAAGTTACTGCAAGACCAAGACCAAAACAAGAGTTGAACGTTGACTTCGTGAGCTTTATCACCCTCCATAGTCCAATAGTATATTAGGCATACGAGCCGATTTAACTAAAAAACGGAGAAGTATTAGACTTGTATAAAGCAACCGTAATAGTACCATCGATTAATTTTTTTATTGCGACCTTTTAGATGATTGTAGACAGAATATGTTCTACAGATTTACTCCGTAAGCTGATTTTTATTGTTGTTATAACAGCTTGCCGTACAAAGATGGTTGATGTAGGGTAAAAAAGCAATAGACATAATCATCTGCATAACTACACAAAATATTATGGAGCGCGTATTCGGTAAACTTCTTGCGTCAGAAAAATAAAATCGTCTTTATTATTTAACTCGTCGTGTTTTAGATACAAAAATGGCGCATCGAAAAGGAAACCCAAAATCTGCCAAAGAAATATGAACAAATGAAAGAAAATATAAATATGCAAAAAGAACGAAATCTGGCGTGGGAAGATGCCCGGATAACAACTAACATAGAACTATCGAATGCGGAAATGAGACGTGTTGAAGAAGAATTACAAGCTATGGAGAAAATCCTGACTATTGAAAAAAATGGTATGGAGGAAGCCAGACATACATTTTCGAAGTGTATTGAAAAGTTAAACGAATTAATACAAATGTGGGAGAAAAAGTACAACTGTGACCTCACTGAAATCGAGACAAACATATTAAAGCTAGGAAACGAGAATGAAGATTTAAATAATTCATATGAAGAATTTCAGGTAAAGGAAGAAAATTATCAAAAGTTAATAAGTGAACTCGAAGAACGTAAATACATAAGGGAAGAAGAAATCAAATTAAAAATGTTCCGCGACGAAATGGCCACTAAAATACAATCTTTCTGGAGGGGAACGATGGTAAGGAAATTTTTAGGACCACACAAAAAATTAAATAAAACATTTCAAAATCAATCAAAGAAAAAGAGTATCAAGAAAAAAAAAATCAAAAAAACTAAATGATCTGTTAAAAAAATAATAATTACTAATTATTAACTCCATTTGTTCGTATGACATTTTAATTTTGATGACCAATTAATAATATTTTAATTTTCAAAAAAAAAAGGATATATGTAATAAAAAAAAACAATAATGTATTAAATCTATTTAATCTAATCATTAAATTTTTCTAATGCTATTCTGTTAAAAAAAAAAAAAATTATATTTATAAGTTTACTCAATTAACACATAGGAGACGGACACCGTCTTGACACTATCTCTATCTTATGATTAAGTGGACGATACTATTTATAACTTGTTCAGTGCTGCAATTTGAATTCTAAGACTCGTGTGCAAGGATTTATTTCGAGGCCCCAAATTAATATTACATTTTTTTACTTGATCATTGTATTACTACAGCAATTACTAGGTATTTTTTTATTGTAGCTTGAATTTAATCATCTGTAATCTTATACACATACTATACTGATTTATTAGAGAAGAAGCTTGCATTATAAATTTTATAGTTAACTATATAATATAGTTATCATATTTAAAATATAACTCATAACATTTCCAAAATTAATTTTAATAGTTGATCTTCTTCTTCTTCTTCTAATGGCATTTCTACTCTCTAAGAATTTTTGCCGCCATTACTACACTTCGCCACCTGTCTCTATCTTGAACTGTCTCCCTCCAATAATAGTGGATCACTAATTTTAACTCATGCATTTGAATTTTTTTTTTATTGATATCAACTGTTATAAAATTATCAAATATAAATAATTTAATTAATTATAATTTTATTTTTTTAATACAACCAATCAATTACAACATAAAAGTCAACAATTTATTAATTCGCCTTAAATTTAAATTATTTTAAGCAATTTTTTTTTTCTAGAATTTGCATTGGCAAAGTCTGTTATAATTTTATCAATATCGGATTCTCATGTCCGTTTGTTTTCTATATTCAAAATGCTTATATTTTTCAATCGATCTAAAGATAAAGAATTACGAAGATAATTTTTTATTAATTAAAGCATAGAAAAGCTGCGTTCTGCAGACGCAACAGTTATTGGTAATGTTAAAAATAAAAGACATGCAGTTAATACATCTGGATAACTTGAATAAAAATTAATTTCAATAATGTGTGCAATTATGGATGTAATAGTAATTTAAATTATTAATTATAAATTATAATATTAAAAAACAATAGTATACATTTACATTTTAATCATTATATAAAATTATTAATTATTCAATTTATTTCCAAACTTGGGTTTAACACTTGCTCTAAAATCTAAAATTTGAGAAAAATGTCCCACATTATACAAAAACTATAAAAAATGATCTAAAAGATGAAAAATTGACTCAAAAATGTTGAAAATGTATATTAAAAAACAGAAAAATGCATTTATAGCTGAAAATGCATAAAAAGTAAAATAAAATTAGAATATTTTATTTTTTTAGAAGGAATCACGAAACAATTTTTTAGCTAGGATATTATTGTATAGAATCAAAGGAAAAAAAACCAAAAGTCATCAACATTTTTCAACAAAGTTTTCAACATCAACAAAATTTTAATTGCCTAGGAACGCACAAATGTTTAATCCAGCACTGTATATACTCGTATATCAGTGTGATCCAGCTTCTAAAAGGTCAATATGCATAAAATGAACTCCCCCGAATACTGCAAACAACCGAAGGAAAAAAGCTATGTCCATTGTTAAAGATGTGAGATTGGATAACAGCCCAGTGTGCAAGAAAAGTTACATAACATCGCCATGTTAAATTTGTGTTTCATAGAAAATATTCCCAAATAATATTTATATGATATTGCATGTGGGTTGCCTAGAAATAATGTCTCATAAGTTACTGAAAAACATTGTATACCTGTTTAAAATTTACTCAGATGCCACAAATACAAATTAACACAAATTCGATGTTATTCTACAATTGTTTTATAGAAATATATATTTATATACTTTTTCTGGGGGTTTCTACGCCTTCAATAGTTATTGGTATCAGACGACGTGTGACGACCTCGGTTGACTAGCAACTGTGAACTCTCGTATGTGTCTCGTGTACGGAGTAAAAGTTTTTCTTACTTTACTTTGGTCATCAGCTTAGCATGATGACTTCGAGGATCAACGTGAATGTGTTCTATGTGAGCGATAGCTCTCCTGGATCTTGTTTTAAAAGGATTTATGCAATCAAAACAATCAATGATAAGATTGAAGAATTAAATTTCAACTTGGAATGCAGAATGGAACGAAGGAATGATATCGATATGATTATAAAGAAATTTGACTCAATCACCGTGTGTATCATAGAAAAGGAGATAATACTACGTTTGACGAATGATAGTATAAAAATAATGGGAATGAAAAGATCACGAGGGGTAACTTTTGAATTAGTGAAGGGTGTGATGGCGCGATTAAGTTTGTTCGATGGTGTTGATGCGACGCTGTATTGTGCGACAAGGGAGATCAGTTCTGCCCACGATTCAATCGAGGAGGCCACGGATTTGCCGTCTTTCGCAACAGCATTAAATCGAGATGAAATCGAGTTAAGATTCGAAGAACGTAAAAAGAGACGAGAGGAACGTGAAAGTGGGAAATTCGATACGCCTTTAAAAGATAGAAAACAAAATACGCCAAAGACTAAGAGCATTAAAGACCAGAATACGCCACAAAAATCGAGTAAAAAACTTGATGACGCAGAAGATGTTTCGAAACAGATTGAACAACGCATAATAAGCATGGACATGGAAGATGGCTCAGATCACCCCGATAGTGGCGGAGAAACGGATGAAAACGAGGATGAAAAAGATGCTGAAATCGTGTTTAAGGTGGATGGTAATGTTGAAGCGACCTATACTTTCAAATCCTCTGAAATAACAAAAGAGGATTATTGTGAATTTTCGAAACCATCGATTGTGAATGGCAAAAAAAAAAAAAAAAAAACGTTGTCGTGTTTGAGCCGTCTACGGCTAAGTGTAGCGCTTCGCCGAGTGTTTGCGGTCGAGTTTTGTTTTTGGGTTAAAAACCAAAATGTTTGCGCACCGTCACGGAGCTATTGAACCAATTATCTCTAGCTGGCCGCGCGACACTTGCGACGTATATTGTCGGTGATTTGAACCTAAGAGAAAACAAGAACTCGGAGAGAGGAGACTACTTGTAACGTAACAACAAAAAAAAAATCGTGTGCGGTATGCTAAATAATTTGATTTATTACCCTGCTTTATAAATCATCAAACTTATAGACTAAGGTTAGTAAATATAACTTATGCGCGACCACAACCCGATCGGCAAGTACTAAACAAAATAATAATAATACCACAAAGGCGCGTCGAAGACGACGATGAATAACAATAAATAATACACAGCGTAAAACCCGTCGGTTGTATGAACAAAATAATAATAATCAAAAAGAAAAACGGGTGTACGACCTGATACGACGTTGATACTAGGATGGCTCTGTGGAGAAGGACCAGTTGTCCCAAAAACGATGTACACAATGGAAGATCGGCCGGCGTGGGCCAAACTACGTTGGACGACCAACGCTCCCGTTGTCACAGCGCAAACGAAAAACCACTACGCGTCGCGGCCAGCACGTTGTTCGAATTTTTCCTCCATTTCGCGATTTGCACCTGCCACACCAATACTCGTTCCTCAAACACGTCTTAACTCGTTAAATATTGAACGAAAAGTGTTAACATTTTGTACACATACTACTGATAATTGTAGCTACAGGATACCAGTTTTGTTTGTTAAATTGCTTCAATTGTACAAGCACTGGAGAGAAATTTCGGGAACTTTTCCGACATACTATGTATGACTCCGAATCATGGACACTAAATTCATCATGTCAACAAAGAATAGAAACATTTGAAACGTTTGCATATAGAAGAATGTTACGAATTCCATGGACCAATCATTGAACGAACATATTTATAATACAGGAACTTAAAATACAAACCCAAGACCACCTTTTGATAACAATTCAGAGCTAAATACTCAAATTTTTTGACTACTTGATACGAATAAATGATATTGAAAAGGATATTATTCAAGGAAAAATCGAAGGAAAAAGAAGCAGAAGCTATCCCATTCGCTATGTAGACCAAATTAAGACCCTCACACAAATGACAATGTCAGAAAACATCCGGAACACAGGGAACAGAGAATTCTAGAGAAATGTACCCAATAGAAAACACATATTTCCATGAAAGTCACGACGTTCGAAATCGAACAACAAAAAAGAAAAGAATGAAAATCGACACCAGTAATATTACAAGTAAAGGTAACGGTAATTGCAATGTTTTGCACCTGAAGCATATGCAGAAAAACAAGCAAGTTCGATGGTGGTGCAAGTTGAACGTCGTCGCGACCGTTCCAGGTCCCCCTCTCATGGCAGATGGTACACCAGGTTAGGTTGATGATGTCGTGATATGGTACGATCCGCGGTCTGGTGGTCGATTGGAAAGTAGACGCGGTTGTCGACGGCCTGTGTGATAATGGTCGCCGCACAGTCCGCATCAACCTACTTACTTCAGACACATCAGTCGTGCAAGCAGATATCACTTATGAACAGGCAGTTGACCGCCTGGCAGGATACTTACGTAAAGCGTGCGATAGGTGCATGCCATCCAGGGCCGCTCTTATTCGTGGTCGCAGGCTAATCCACTGGTGAAATGGCCAAAAGAGGCGCAACGTGAACCGCGCGCATTGAGCATATGCAAGAGGCAATGACCAACCAGACATCGAGGAAGCGGAACTTTCGGGACCAGGTGATTAGAGTTGGAGGCTTTACAATTCCCGTCAGAAGAAGCCTGCGGTGTCTGGGTGTGATCTTCCTAACTGGAGAGCAGTGCCAACTTTCGCGAGGCACATCCAAACGACGAGGGAAAACGAAGAACGGGAAAGGCAGCCACGACCAGAACCTTAGTTAAGATACCATACACTGTACGCGAAAAGCTAACTTTAGAGGGATAGTCCCTCTCTTTATTGTGAAGCAAAGCTTATATGGTCTATATATGTTATTCTCTAGCATTAGTAAACATAATACTTAGTCTATACTCTGTTCAAAATGAGACCGAACTCGGCGGCGACCAGTTTTCGTTCGCGACGGTCAGGCACCTCCCATACCATAGATCACGTGACTTTGGCTCCGGTCGCCTGTGCGGTCCGTGCAAAGCGCATATGCATACGCGCGTCATGCGTCGTCTATAAGAAAAATGTTCTATAAAAAAAAATGTATAGCTCGGCAGTGCCATGCCTAGCATAATCAGCTGCCGGTGCCAAGAATAATTTCTAGTGCTCTCACTCCTACCAAATATTTTTATACTTATAAAAAGTATAACATTATTGGAGAGCCGGAGACAGATTCGTCAGATTTACCTTATTTTTCACATTAAACATTTTTGTCCACATGTACAATGTACAAACACTTCTAAAGATGATACAGTATAACCTCGATAAGATGGAAATCCCAGTATGTAATGGTACACCATATATCCCCCGTACGTAATCCCATACGTGTTGCGCAGCGTGCAGTGGTTGTTTTTCTTACTAATCGCGCCCAATAATCACAGTACAATGGGAGTCCGGCGACCAAAGAACATCCAACAGATGTCGCATACGCACCATCCGGATTACACACCACGGCCGCCGGACTCAATTATCAAAATTCGCAACATTAATATATTTATTTAACCCGTTCGGGTCATAATTTACTATGTATTAGCCCTTCTAGTACCTATAATGACCATCCATAATTCTGTCGGGAGTAAAATATATATACGGGACCGAGTTGCTTAGATACAAATCTGATTTCAACGTGTGGAACTATAGGCCTTGTTATATACCCCGAGATCTGATTTAAAATCACTCTTCCCTGCTCCGAAAGCAGTTGCCGTAGTCACAACATCGAATCGGTGTCAAGCCAGTGGTAAAACCTCTCGACCTTAAGTCGACCGCGTCTATTGCCCAGTGCCACCATTCCTCGATGACACTCACGGTACACTTCTCAGTGTAAAGTCTAGAGTGTCATCTTTTTGTGATTACTGCTACTGCCTAGGGGTACAGTACCCCTCATAATTTGTTTATCGTGCCGTCGTTGTCGACCACCGCCGCGTTTTTCCCCGTAGATATCCACGGTACACGTAACAGTGTATAGTCCAGGTTATCTCGGAGCCTGCCGTCGTTGCAAACACCATCGTGATAATTGCTCATAACAATGCCTTTAATCGTGCCGTCGCTGCCGATAGCCACCACGCTCACACGTAAAAATACCCTCACAGTCTATTTTGTTCGTATATAACAGTAAATATAGTCTTTTTCGTTGAATAATAATAACCATTATATGTATTATTTTTGTAGTAATGTCCTTTTTGTTCTATGTTTTGTACAAGAGATATTACTTTTCTTGATGTGTATATTTTTTATGTGTTAATAAATGAATTGATATAACATACAAAAAAACTTATATTATTTTTGTCAACGTACACCACGCGGCCACCCCGAACGTGTGTGTGTCCGTTACAAGTATTACGGAACATTTTTTGGTCCCGTTTCAAATTACATATAATTAACTAACCCCGTCGAGACGAAAACCCCGTTATCACAGAAAAATGTCAGGGTCCCAAGCGATTCCGTCTTATCGAGGTTTTACTGTAATATATAAACAGAGAAAGAGCCTTTAACATAATTAATATGTTGAATTTTCAATAATATTACTTAAGTAGATTATAACGTTATATATAACGATATATATACGTTTGGTCATTGGCACTCGGTGCACACGCACCTCTCACACACTCCTAGGCACGGCCCTATAGCTCGGTATTGTGTGTATAGATTCCTCGTGCATTTTATAAATTCCAGGTAGGAGCTGGACATTTAGGGTGGGTGCTCTGCACATATGCCTATTATATCTATTCTCTACCTCAATCACAAGCATATGCTTAAAGGAGATAGATAATTTATTGTAAAATTTAAAAAAAATATCAATATAACATGTAAAATTTAACGAATTCAACACATTTGTGCTCCACTTTCTGTATCATCACGTGCTTGATAATACGCTCCATGATTTTTACCCGTGATTTTTTTGTATTCTTGATCGTTTTCGTACGTTTTTTTTTTAACTTTTTTCGTTTTACGAATTCACTATGGGTGATCGTATGGATATGGTTTCTGAATTGGACAACGTGGAGGAAAATCTTTCACCTAAAAGAAAAAATATTCCAGGAAAAGTGAGTAAATTATTATAAATTAATTGTTCGCGCGCGACACCAGTTTTTCGCGCCTATTGAAATGCGGCAACCGGTCTACACGATGGCGCATCGGGCGCAGAATTTTCTAAAAAGCTGTCCGCCGCCCGATCGCCGTTCTTGGGACGGCTGGCGAGACTGCGTGTCGCCTGGGTGCTGTCGTTTTTCCACCTGCATGGAGATCGGGTCTCGCGACTGTCGAGCTATAACGACCATTCTACCACAGGTGCTTGTCACGGGTGCAATCCGAACTTTCGCGAACGACGTTCCTCTTTTTTATAACGATTGGTGAAATTTTACTCGTGGTGTTGCGTACGTGTATCATTTTGTTCACGTAAGTAGTGTGAAAGGCGCGACAACAGGTATTCCCAATGCATTGGCCGAACCACGTGTGTGTCACCAGTCATCGCACGTTTGAGACGTTGGGGATCAACCAGGTGCGTCAGAAGACCATGATTATTAACATGTACAAGGACATGAAATTGAAGTCTCCAAATAAACCGTACAAGGAAATGATGGTTGAAATTTCAAATTCCACAGGTATTGGTCGCAATTCGATAGTTTCAATTATTTCCGAATACAAAAAAACCGGAACTGTTATGTCTCCTAATAAGACACGCAATAAGAAGTGTCTGTTCAATCACATTGATGATTTAGAACGTAATGCACTTCGTCAAAAAGTTCATTCCTTTTGGTTGAGGAAAGAATTACCAACCGTCGACAACATTTTGCATACGGTGAATGAAGATCCTGCCCTTCCCGATTTCAAACGCATTTCATTGTATTCCGTGATAAATAAATTGGATTTCGTCTTCACCAAGAGGAAAAGATGCAGCGTGTTGACGGAGCGAGAAGATTTGTTGGTTTGGTGTCAAAATTATTAGTACGATGTACGTAAATATATAGAAGAAGGTCGTACCGTCTACTATCTTGACGAAACGTGGCTAAATGTAGGTGATTGTGTAGACAAAGTGTGGGTCGACAATTCGGTCAAAACATGACGCTTTTAACAAAGGTCTGACAACAGATGTTACGAACCCGACTGGCAAAGGCAAACGTTTAAAAAGTACACATTGGCTCGCACAAAAATTTTGTAGATGGTGGTCTGTTATTTTTTGAATCAAAAAAAAATAGTGCAGACTACCATGAAGAAATGAATGGTGACAACTTCCACGAATGGTTTGAGTCAATTCTTTCTCGTCTTGATCCAAATTCAGTAATTGTGATGGACAATACCCCGTATCACTCGGTCAGAACAGAAAAAATCCCGACATCCAGCACAAAAAAAGAAGAAATTATATCGTGGTTAATTTCAAAAAATGTTGTCATTGACCGAAAAATGTTTAAACCACAATTACTGGCGAAGGTCAAAGAAGTAAAGAGGCAATATGGCAGTTGTCGACAACATGGCCAAAAACGGCGGGCATAATACATTGAGATTACCACCCTATCATTACGAATTGAATCCAATAGAATTGGCATGGGCAATGGTTAAGGGCTACGTCAAACAACACAATACTACATACAAAATCGATGACGTTAAAGTCCTTCTGAACACGGCAATTGAACGGGTCACTAGTGAAATTGGCAAAATTTTATTCATCATGTCAAAACAGAGGAGGATAAATTGACCCAAGTAGACGAAAATATGGATGACATTTTGGACAATTTAGAACCCTGTGTCCTCACTATAACAGGCGATACTTCCAATTCTGACGATGACGATGATGTACCTGCCGCCGAGGTCCGGTCTCATTTTGAACAGAGTATAGACATAAATACTGTCAGTACTATTTATTTAAGAAACATTTTAATTTCCAAAAAATGGCAACACTGTAAGTACACGATAATTAGTGTCACGAATATGGCCTAATCACAGCAATTGTCGCAGTAACCGAAATAACAATGCAGTGGGAGGATTATCACACGCGTATTGCCATAATTGGTTTGTTTAAATCGGGCAAATCTGCATTACAAATTTTCGCGCTCTTGGGTCCGCATAAAATGAGTGAACGATTTGTGTATCGTACCATCAAACGTTACTCTGATACTGGTGATGTTGTTGATATTGTTAAAAGTGGTCGTCCTCGTTCTGTTCGGACAAAAAAGGCGATTGAAGCCGTTCAATTGAAGCCGAATCAATCCAAATTCTTCACGGAAACAAAAAGTCGTCTCTCGAAAGATGAAAATCAACGCGCGATCGACTTCTCGCATAATTCGAGATGACTTAGGTATACATGCTCATAAGCGAAGTACAAGCCACTTGATAACAGACCGATTAAAGAGAATAAGACTCGAAAGATCAAAAAAGCTCCTACGTTCGTACGGTCGAAAAAAATTTAAACAAATTTTATTCACAGATGAAAAAATATTTACCGTTGAAGAAAAATACATCAAGCCAAATGATAGGGTATATATGCAAGGTCATCATTAGAGGCCAGAGAAAAGGTTACAGGCGTTCAACGAGGCCATAATCCTGCTCAAGTTATGGTTTGGTAGGGTGTGTCATGGCATGGTGTTACACAAATTCATTTCTGCGAGAAAGGAGTTAAAACTGGTGCAGCACGTGTTTATCAGTATAGTGTCTTAATCCCTTCAATGAAACCTCTTAGTGATTCTTTGTTCGAAGGATTTGATTGGGTTTTTCAACATGATTCCACCCCAGGCCACAAAGCAACAACAACACAAGAGTGGCTTGAAAACAATGTTTCGAATTTTATAAAGGCATCTGACTGGCCCTCTGTAAGCCCAGATTTGAACCTGTTTGATTATGGGTTATGGAGCATTTTAAAGGAGAGACCTTGTAAAAACGACACGCAAATTTGGAGTTACTAAAACGAAGTATTGTGAAGGCAGCTGCAGAAATCCCCTTGGAGACTATTCGTACACGTATTGAGCAGTGAAAGCCGGAAAGATTACGTCGTTGTATTGAAAACGAATGGGGGGCATTTTGAGTAAAATATATATGGTTCGAATTGTTATTATGTATACTTTGCAAATATATATATTTAATTTCTGTACGATGAGTTATTCTTAAGTAATATAGGTTTAAACTACTGACAGTATTTATGTCTAAACTAAGTTGGTACATTACTCCAATTGTCATATTTTTATGTTCAATTGTGGTATTGATTGTACTAAAATGTGTAACCAAGGCTACGATAGAGCAGCAAATATGTCAGGAAAATGTAAAGGCGTGCAAACTGTGATAAGAAATTTATATTTCATTGTTTTATTCTTATGTTATATTTTATAGTTCATTGAGTAGCCCATTCATTAAATTTAGCAGTTTCATCTGCATATAAGTTCAATCCGTTAGAAACTGTATGGGTATAGTGGGTAAAATGTATCATTTTTCAATTCGCCAAAACGAACTAATGTTCTTTTAGAAGCAATTATAAACAGCGATCTAAACCCTTCGACTCAAATGATCTTGTTTTAACACGAAGAGTTGAAAGATACACAGAAATCAATGATTTTGTTGAACTTTTTCCGTCTATAGCTGATGCATTAGAAGAAATACCAATTAAATTGAATGAAATTTCTTCGGTGTCTGATGCAAATATATTACTAAAATCGATGAATTCTGAGTTTTTAATTTCCCTTCAAGTTTTAAAAGTAGTTTATAATAATTATTTTGTATTAAAATATTTGTATGATATCAAAATGTAAAAAACATTAAACACTAATTATTGTATGATTTCTTCTAGGTGATATTTTCTTACAGTTTACCGCTATGTAAATGTTTACATAGATTTTGCCATAGATGCTTTACATTTATGTACTGAGTCAATTTTTCCAAATATTTATCAATCATTAAAAATATTATGTACCATACCAATATCTACATCCACTCCCAACAGATCATTTTCATGTCTGAAACAACTAAAAACCTATTTAAGAAACTCTATAACTGAAGTAAGGAGTACATATATTATTAATGTTATAACTTCGTATATAATATTTTATATAATATGATGTTATTCTCAGAATCGTCTTAACGGCTTAACATTATTAGCCGTTCATAGAGAAATCCCCATTGATGCCAAAGAAGTTCTTGATGTGATGGCTTAAAAATCAAGAAAACTTTAATAATTTTGTAGATTTAATATTTTAAATAAAATTATAATGTTATTATAATTTAATGTATGTTATTTTTAAATTTAAAAAAGGGGCGTGAGCGTTTTTCCCGCACGGCTCACCTTTTAATAAATTTTCATATCCCCCTGCCCCAATAAAAAATACTGAGAACGCCTCTGTTGATAATACATTATACTGTTGTAAATATGTAGGTTCTTTTAAAAGACAATTACAGCCACAACAGCAAATGGGGATTTTTTATCTCCATTCATTATATTTAAAGGTGTTACAGTACAAACTCATTGGACTTCTTATAAGGATTTTCCAGGTTAAATATATTTAAATATTTTATGCGTCATACCAACTTATATAGGTAATAATAACTAATTTTTTTAATTTATTTAAGACTGTGTATAGTGTTTCAAAAATGGCTATATGGAAAAACCGTTATTTTTTAACTGGTTAGAGTCAACATTTATTCCTCACATTCAAAAACTTAAAAGTAAAGATCCTACTAATAGTGGTTAGTAGTTAGTAAGTAGTAGTTTACTGTATGATGGCCACTGCTCTCATATGAGCCTAAAAATATTATATATATATTATGGATAATAATGTTAAATTAAATTAAATTAAATTTCTCTGCCATTTAATGGACAAACTTCAGCCGTTAGATAAATTAATTGTTGGTCCATTGAAGTCAACATGGGAAAAATAATTAATTTCTTTTAGTAAAAAAATGATGGATAAAGTAGTTGGTAAATAGTAGTTAAGTGTTGATAGAGTAACTAAAGGTACATTTTTTGAACTTTTTTGTAACTTATGGTATTTGACCATTAGATCATGAAAGCTGATAAGATCTTGGTTCAAAAGCACTGGTATTTTCTGTTTTGATCCTTCTACATTTCCCATATCACATTTTGATCCAATTGATTATGAAGAATACAAAAATTTAACTTCATCCAACAAATGTGTACCTAATAATATAATAGATGACATTCCAAAGTTGCCATGTGAATAAGAATATGCCGCACCATCAACGAGTTATTCAAGAGAATATATGACTATTAATAATGAATTTTTTTAACTACTACTTTCCATTTCCTTCTCTAATAAAAATGTTGAATTAAATATCTCAAAAAGGAATTGATTATTATACATTATTATATATGTAAGTAAATTATAATATGGGACACATAACTGATGTTTCTACAAAATATACCTATATAAAAACTGTTTTATTTGAAATATTATGAAGTATGCATAGACTTTACCTTAATGAATTGCTATTATGCTTTATTTTAATTTGCCTTATCAATCCATTGTGTTATAAATTGTGTTGTTTACATTTTTCCCAATAATTTATAATGTAAACATATATTTTGGAGCAAATGTAAAAACGCTCATAAAAACCATCTGAAGAAATAATTAATAAGTACTGATGATTCATTTACTTTTTCCCCAGATTTCTTTTTCTATTATAATGAATTATATACCTAATATAAGGGTAATGCTTGTGATGGGGACTAAGAATTTCAATTGAGTATATTCAGTATAGTTAATTAAACATTAACAATTATTTTAAATATTAAACATAAACTTGTGAAACAAGTTCAAACTGATATTTGTTGTAAAATAAGAAGCATATATCAAACAAAAAATGTAAAGACTACCAAACAAAAATTAAAATAATTATTCATTTGTCTAATATTTCTTTTTTTTTAAACAAGAAATCAATTATTTTAGAAATGCCATACAATTATAAAAAATATTGATACCTCAACATTATTTTTGACTTATAAATACAATTATTCTAAGATTTATTTAATTTTTTAGAAGAAAACTAACAGTTGAGGTAAATGGTATTTCATTTTCGAAGGACCAAAAATATGACTACAAAAGAAAATGTTGAATATTATTTGAAATTTTTTTAGTTTACAATAGTGATATAGTAGTCAGCACTTATTATTTGGATTTGTTTAAACATTATATACTTTATAGAGGTTCATAGAATTTAGAACTACAGATTTTATAGCAATCCGTGAGTCCTAAAATATTGGCGACCACTGCTCTATACGAACACTACAGAAAAAACAAATATGTGTACCAGGCCAGAGAGCAAAGAATGGTTATAGGGATTCCAATATCCCCCATTAAGGATGTTTTTACAAACATTTTTCTAAAATTATACCACATTCTATAAAAGTTAGTTAGGACTAACTTGAAAATTTATACATAGTTGTCTATGTTTGTTTTAACCAAGCCAATTTTCCACCTACTGTGGATTATCGTTGTAGATGCAGTTATCATGGGCCAGCACGACGCACAATAATAAAAAAAAAGATATAACAATGGTAGTATAAAAAAATAAACCAGCGGAGCTGAATAAGTTAACACTTGTATTATTATACATATCATCAGAACTCAAAAATTGATTTAAGGACTATATAAATGTACAATATAAAAACGTAGATTATAACATCCAAAAAAATAGTTATTATAAGAATAAATAATTCTATCCGTCTAAATTTACTTTCAAGAACACTGTGCGGCAAACTAAACATTTTCATCAATTTATGTCCATGAGTAATACAAAATATATTAATTTAATGTAATTTAAATCTGTATATTAAAATGTTTAAAATTAATGCAATTACAATGTATAATTGAATGAATAATGAAGCTGACAACAAACTTTTAATACTGTTCTATTTATTTAGAGATTTCATACACAAAGATTTATTCAATATTTTCTAAGTGTTTTATCTTTGTAATTTCTATCGCTGTTTTTTATAGAACAGGATAATCTCGAACCATTTCAATAAATTTTCCATCATTTACGGTAATAATCTGGATTGCATTGCAATAATGTAATTACACATAAAAGCAAATATAAAAATTCAACTTCTATAGTTGAGTTAGTGAAAAATTCACTTGTATAGTCGTCCTTATCACGCAAATGTTGCTCTCCCGGCAACTGCTACGCGATTGACGCACTTGAAAAAACAAAGACGTGCGGGAATATCCACGCGATCGAATTATTATTAAACATAAACATTGTTTTTCGAAAATTCAACTTTGGCGTGATCACGCAAACGCGTTTACCAACGTGCGATTATAAGCAACCAAGGGTTTTGGATATAAAACGTCCAATTTTTATGCTTTACGCACCGACCACGGATGATATGGCGTTCCCTGTTACTTCAACGTTCGCGACATCAATATTGTACAAAAATATTCATTTGATGTAATAAAATGGAATTCAACCATTATAATTAGAGGATCCACTTAACACAATTATATGGCCATAATATGTAACCACAAGAACAATGATGGATCAACTAAAAGACAAGATTTACAACCGTGTATTATTGAATATTACAACAAAATGTTTCCTCTATACGGTAAACTTGATCACTCGCTAGTGAATAGGTGGGCACATACGCGACACACAACTTTTTGGGTATCACAACCAGTGTCGTCGCCATGATTTTCAAGGCCCTGTGCACATTATGAACGCTGAAGCCGCGGGTCTGAATATACAATAAAATAGAAGCGCGAGGCCCTGTGCGATTGCACTTTTTGCACACCACTGATCACAACAACGCACAGTTACGAGACGAAACAGCAGGACACAACACTGACACCGACTACTAAAACACTGAAATGCGGTCTAAATTCGACGCGGTGCCCGTAGCCCGAATTTACTGCTGATAATTGGCCGATGTAGGGGACAGAGTATTTTTAGAACTTTCTAGAACGCGAGTTTCCGATTAGCGTGCGCGGACGGTAATTGTACAGCAGATAAGATTCAAACAATGAATGTGCGCACGTTTAAAATAAATAATTCTTAAGCCGGGTGTTCCCACGACTCATGTATTTGACGAATATTTATAATTGCCGAATATTCGTCTATTCGTACAAATACCCAAATATTCTGTTCCCACTCCTAGCATATTTGACGAATATTTGTTAACACTAATACTCGTACAAGTATTCAAAATTACCCCTCCAATAAACTTATAAATTCGTATTTATAGAATTGTACCACGGAAATTAATACACAAATATTCGTCACGTCGTGGGAATGCCCATCCAAATATCAATTGTGATACAATTATTATCTTTGATTCGTGTCTCTTTTACCGATAATCGGCGGGAATAAGATGAATGACGAATACCGAATGCCGAATATTCGTACAAATATATCATTTCCCACTACATGACGAGTATCCACGAATAGCGAATATTCGTCAAATACACGAGTCGTGGGAACCCGGCTTTAGATTAGATCAATTGATTAAATAGATTAAATTAGATGAACAATGTTCTCCTTGTTTTATTCGTTGAACATTTCATGCACACAATTATTATTTTATATATATATAGTTCTATGTTATTTCAACACCAGCTCCAAATAACCAAATTACTCTTGAAAAATGAATCTAGATTTCAGGTACCTGAATAAATGTTTTCCAAATAAATAAATCAATTTAGATTAAAATCACATAGGTAAAATGTACATTACAATTTAAGACGAGCATAATCAATATAATTTTAAAACTATATATAAGTGAAATAATTATAAGTTTAATTATTTTAAATTTTATTTTTTTTATTAATTTAATTGTGTCATTAAATCAAGTATTTTTATAATATCATTTAAATTTACAATTTACAATTAATATGTATACAATAATATTCATAATTTTTGGTAAGCCTATAAGTCTAGATCCGTGTCTGAATCCAAGGTATCTTCTTTGGGTTCAAGTAAAATATTCTGTGGTAGCCGTAGTCTTAATCTTAGGTTAACGGATCTTCAACCGATTTTATAATGGAGTGCTCTGTCAGATTTGTGAAATTTTTTCATGAAAGTTTTTAAATTGTTGCGTTATCCAAGCAGATAGGTATAGGTATGGTAGACCCGTATCATTTATTTTAAATAATATTACATTGTTTCAGATATTTTTGATAAATTCAATATTTTACATATTCCCTTAAGGGGATTCAAAACCGATCGTTTTTTTGACGAAAACATGCCAACTTTTGTCCATTGTACCGATGTAACTACTTTTGCGATAAGAAATCTGAAAACATATTTTTATTCGTTATGAAGTTTATTTGTGATCGATCATCGCATTTTTTTGAATTTTGGCTCTTATCCCCCCCCCCCTTACATTTGATTTAAAAACTAACAATTTTTGAATTTTTAAACAGTGAATAAACCGATTTAAAAAAAAAAATCAAAAAAATGGGATGATCGATCACAAATAAACTTCATAACGAATAAAAATATGTTTTCAGATTTCTTATCGCAAAAGTAGTTACATCGGTACAGTGGACAAAAAGTACATGCTTTCAACAAATAATCTCCGTTCGTAAGCGACGCCGTGCGCGACATTTGGTGACTTGCTCGTGTGCGTGCGGATGTGGTTCCCTCTCGCCACAAACTATTTATATCAATACGATTACGAAACATCGTTATCGACGGTCACCGGCTATTCTATGAACACGGTTCACTAAGGGTCCGAACGCACTGCGGTATTTTCGCCGTCGGGTCCGAACAGTTTTACCCGAACGGTTTTTACGTTCACACCAAACTACTATATTTAGACGGACTGCACCGCACTCGACGGTTTCGCCGTTCTCCGCCGTCGGTCGCCGCAACATGCTGCGGTTTGACGGCGCTGCCGTTGTACCGTTCGTAAAGTAAACACATTGTTTCGATGGGAAGGAACCCACTGTGACTATAGTCAACGGTTAATTTTGTAATTTTGCATATTTTTATATTTTTTTTCTAATTCACCAAATGCTTCTGCGACAGCAATCACTTTAAATAAATTGTCATAATCATTAACTCCATTCTAAATAAATTAAATGTAATATAATAAGTAGGACTATGCATTAAATTAACTAATAATTTAATTTATAACTTACATGTATTTAGGTGTTTGTGTACAAATCGTGGTACGTAGGTATAAAAAATTTAAATTTACAGTATTAGATATAGTGAAATATAGTAAATACAGTAGATCACAGACCATAGTAGTTGGTTAACCAACCACTGTACTATCAACTATCAATATTCAATTTTCTTATGGAAATTAGAAATTGATATTTAGCCAGTTTAGGCGGGAAAATTGAGTGATAACACCTATTGTATTAGCGGTAAAAAATCGCAGTGCGGTGCGGGTCGTAAAATCCGCGAACGGTAAAACCGTTCGGACCCGACGGCGAAAATACCGCAGTGCGTTTGGACCCTTACACTTACACTTATTTGTTTATTTCAAATGTATTTATAATTTTTTTAAGTTTTTATGTTTCATAAAACAATGAATTATATTAATATCATTTCCTTGTAGTATTTAGTATTATTTAATATTTATTGGTTATTAATTATTATAATAGTCGGCTAGTCTATTTTTTTTTTATAACAACAGCCACTTTTGTAAAAATGCGCGACCGCAGCAATGACACGTATAATAGGTATAAATGTATTACGTATTATGTACCTACAACGAAATATAATAGTTCAATGCGATAGCGGATACACACTATTATTATAAAATGGAAATAAAACTATAAATAACATTGTGATAATGATGTGACTATGACAAAGAGGAAGGTGGCGGTACAGGTTATGAACCGCACTCACACTAATAATCATTTACGACTAACACAAATACATCGGGCGGTGACGACGTGATTACAAATTGCCTAAATTTTACCCCTTATTAAATAAGCACTTCCAGCCCCCAGATAGTTCAGATAGTTTTGTTCTAAAAGAAAATTGTTTTATCTTATCTAGCTATTTAAATTATTTTTAATTTTATGATTTGTTTTTCTTTTCGTCTTCTATTGTTACATCCAAATGCTAAATAAGACATAATCATAATGATTTATTTAACAATGAAAAATAACTTTGCCATTATTAATTTATTATTCTTTGACTTAGTTACAAATTACAACATAAAAAATTACAAAAACAAGTATAAAAGTTATTCCAACATATTTATAGTTGCATATAACTATATCCAGTTTTATTAATTAAATTAAAAATAATTGAAATATGTAGATATTGGACTGTAAAAACTAAATTTTTTACCCTTTAGTGGTGAGAGTTATACAAAAGCTCATTTTCATATCAGAATTATCTATATACAAAACTATAATTTGTTTATCTTACCTACATATTTGTTAGTGATATTTTAGGTTTTGAAGTACCTAATTAAGAATGCTCAAAATATAGTAATCTTAAGTACTCGTACATTTCTAATTATTTATCCAAAAATTGTTAAGTCTGCTATTTACTTCTAGATTTCAACATTTCCATTATTGGTAATAATTTCTTTTCTTTAATATGTTTGACCACATTTTAATTTTATTTAGTAGGTTATTATATTGTGCCAGTGGCGGCGCGAAATATTTTCCTTCATGAGTCCTGTTAGGATTTTGCCTACCCATCTACCCACCTAAAAATAAATTTAAGAGTAGCTTGTAAAAAGAGCTCCCCCACTATTTGTTCTACATGCTACATACGCACTCGATACCCAATGGTCATTACCTCCACCCACCACCTACCCACCCATTGATTTGAGTCCAGGGACTCAAAAATCTGCCGTCACGCTGCCACTGTATTGTCCTATATTATATAGTTCAAATTTTATTATTTAAGAAGGGCCTTAATTATTTTATTAATTTTATTAATTCTTTTAATCAAATTAAACAGTATTTTTTTAGTTTTAATTTTTCTCGTTGTAAATATGAAGCTATTTAAATTTAAAAAAATGACTTGATCTTCAAAGTATTAATTTTATTTTTATTTTAGTAAATTTTTAAAAATAAATAATGATTGATTATGAAATATATTTTATTTTAATATTATAGTGGATTTATTAGCTGCTGCCAAATTAAATGATGAGGCAATCAATGAAGAACAGCCAGTCCATGGAAATAAAATGTCTAAAAAAAACAAAAAAAAGAACAAAAAACAAGATTTGGAAGATGAATCAGAAGGTAGTCTCTATCTAGTACAATTAAATTACTAAATTCTAAATTATTATGTACTTTGTAAATAGTTTTATACAAATAATTTAATAATTAATGAGATATAATTTATTAGAAAATAATGAAAAAATTGTCTGTCATTTAAAAAAATAACTTTTTCAGAAACATCTTTTGATTTTTAAATTAATTAATAATTTTAAAATATGTAGTTGGATGTTATAGACATCACTGGTAATAAATATATGTAAGATAATTTTAATTAATATAACTTATAATAGTAGGTACTTACTTCAATTTTTTTTTTTTAAATCATAAGTTATACATTTAAATTTTTAAAAGCATTTTAATAATAATTAATGTATTTAGCAAATACTTTGAAAGCTGATCAAGAAAATGAAAAATTAAATGAAGAAGAGCCACTTAATCGTGGAAATAAAGTTTCAAAAAAAAAATAAAAAAAAGAACAAGAATCAAGATAGGGAAGATGAATCTGAAGGTAGGTTTGATTTCTTTGTCATTATAAAAGTATAATAGAATAAGCCATTCAGGGATTTGAAATTCATCTGTACTCAGACAAATTCGTGTACTCAAAATCCTACAACTATTAATAATTTCTAAGTGTAGGTATAGAATTCAGTGCTTTATTTCTATAAAAACCACATTTTTAAATTAGTTATTCTTTATTTTTAGTTAAAAAATTTAAATAAATAGGTTATTTTTTATAAATAAATTAGTACATTTAACAATAAATTTTTTGTATTATAATATAATAAAACCAACTGAGTGTACACAGTCTTTTAGATGAAATAATAAAATGTGCTTCAATTGAAACCTCTTTTGGATACACTCATTTATCTACTCTTCAGATATGATATTGTGAAACTTCAATAATAGATTTATGAGTCAGGTGGTTAAGTATACGTTTTAAAGGTGTAATATTAATATTTTTATTAAAATGAGAAAATAAAAGAAAGTAATTATTTTTAGGGGCATACATAAATATACACCCTTACAATTTCCATTACACAGGGAGATTACATTAATAGTGTAAAGAGTGTTAGAATAACTCTTATTATAAACTCCATATATAGACATCACTATTGTAGTTTCAATGATCAAATAACCATGGGTGCATACCAAATATTTACACGCAAATATAAGTAATAACAAGTTATCATCGTTAAATGTAAAAGATGTAAGAAGGGTAGTCATGCGAAAGATAATCGCGAGGCCAACCAATCAAGTATAGAATAGGTAATGAAAATTAAAAACGAATGTGTTTTATGAACTTGATATTAAATTTCAAATGTATAAGTTACTTAAAACATAACCCATGTCCGAGTCAAGTGTAACGCACAAGAACAGGGTATATAGGGTAGTCCCAAATAGACCAATATTAAGATTGTTTTTAGTTTGATTGTAGGAAGTACCTTCACGCATGTTTACATAGTAAATTAAATGTTTGGACTTAGAATATTTTTATAAATGAATTGTAATTAATTTAAAGTTTAATTAATATCTTAAACATCCTATCTTCTTAACACCGAAGTTGCTGAACTTAAGGTATGCAATATTATGAAATTTTAAATTTGATTATTTATTTTAATTGTAAGCATTTTGAAATTTGTTTCATGAACTGAAAATGTAGATTCAGTTGATTTATTGGCGGCCAACAAAATAAATGCTGACGATGAAATAGATGAACCTCCACAGCCAATCCGTGGTAATAAAATTTCTAAGAAAAACAAAAAAAAGAATAAAAATCAGCAAGATTTGGAAGATAAATTTACAGGTATTATTATTATTATTTTTTATTTGTTTTAACTCTTAATTTTAAAATACACCTACAAAAATGTATGGTTTATGTGTCCAATCTTAAAACATAAATACTCATTTTGCATATAATTGAAATTTCTAAAACATAATACATCAAATAATATTTTTCATATAAGAAATTGCTGTAATTTTATAATTAAATGTTCAACTTCATATGAATTATGATAAAAAGAGATGGTAGTAAAAATATTATTTTATTCTTAATTACTTATTTATAATTGATCCATGATAAATTGTATGTAGGATAGTACCGGGAATATTCCCCATGTCAGAAAAGTTCAGGAAATATTTGTTTTAATTAAATTATCCTTCCTATTGGCTACATGACGTTCTAAAATACTAAAATTCAAATTCTATATTAATATGAAGTTAAGAAATATTTTATTATTATGTTATTTGTAACTATACAAATTAAATAACTAAAAAAATATTCATAACAATAATCCACATAATATTATTTAACTTCTTGCCAAACTTTATAATTTCACAAATGAAAAATACAATACCATTAATACCAAATATTTTAATACTGTATTTTTAAACTATTTTTAAGTACAAATTGAGTTATATTAGTAATGATCAAGGCTCGGAACTTTAGGCATTTGCATATTTGTCTAGAAAGTGCATATTGAAATTCTGATTCGATACAAATTTGATTCATAGTATGTATATTTTAGATTTAAAAAATTTTATTGCATAATTTTGCATATTTTGTTATTTTTATAGTAACAATTCGCATATTTTGGGTTTAAGAACATTTATATGCATATTTCATGGGTTTAATAAAATTTTTAAAAAAAATATATAGTTTTGTTATGTGCACCGCAGCATATTATAGTATATTATTATTATACTTATTATTAATATTATTGTTAAGTATATATATGTTAATATGTGGGGACAAATGCTGACTATGCGTTTATCCATTTTATACATACACGCCTGACCACCCGTTATCGAGCAGTCGTGTAACAACCAAGCAATTGTAAAATCGTTCTTTCTATATTATAATTTTCAGCGACTCAATAAAATAAATACTTTTAATAAAATTGTTGAATTGAGAACTTCCTCGTGGTGTTTTTTTTCTAAAGTGCGAACTTAAAAAACGTTACTGTAGTGCCGACGGACTCTACCGAGTTTACCCGATCTGGCATACAACAGTTTAATAAAAAAATATTAGATGTATAACAACCAAAATTCTAAGTTTTATATCGTTTGACAAAATATTATTTATAAATTTATTCATCAATGATTTTTATTTGTATTGCTCCGGTTCCCAATGCACTTAACAATAATATTATAATCTTTATAGTACCGAGAACTCGTAATAGTGACTACCGCCGACCGTATTTATTTTTATACAAATTTACCACTGTATTAATATTTTGTAACATAACATAAACAAATTATATAACCATAAACATAAACATTCATGAACAATTATGTGTAACCATCAGGTTATCAGCTTATACACAATATTATTTCTGTTCGTTACAATACTGCATAAATCTGCATACAAGCGTCTTCTTTGTACAGTGTACACTACAGTGACGTATATAGGTTTTCATTTCGGAGGGGCCGATTATGTATTTGACTTATGGGTGAAAGGGAAGGAGGAAGTACACTATTACGAAAAAAATTACTTTAACACTATAAGACTTCTCGACTGTCTTTACACCATCAGAGAAATAAGAAACTCAATTTTTTTTAACGATTTATTATTTTTTAAAAGTTAAAACTACATTGTAATAAACAAATTTTTTATTAGAGTCACTCAAAATTCACCACATATTTTCTTAAAAGAATAAATATATTTTATAAATATAAAAATTTTAAATTATCGCATAAGAAACATTCACAGTGTCGCGACAAATTTTTGGAAACCCCCAGCATTAAGATATATCCATATTAAAAATAACAATCTTTAACAATGGTGTTTTTCATTTCGGAGGGAGCTCAGGCCCTATCGGCCCCCTATAAATACGCCCCTGGTACACTAATCAGTAGTCGGTTTATTATTTTTTAAGCAATTATTTTCCAATTTTCTACTGCATATTATACCGCATATTTTGATGTTTTTTAATGCATATTTTAGTATTTCTTAGCGCATAAAGTTCCGAGCCTTGGTAATGATATACTAATGATATACCAAGACACCAGTTTTTCTAAATAAAATAATTTGATACATCATGTGTTAAAATAATAATCATAATATTCGGGAAAGTTGGAAAAGTAGTCTAAAAGAAAATTCCTGGGAAAATAACTTTTCCCAGGAACATTTACCGGGAACTTTTCTAACGAGACATCTCTAATTGTATGTGTTTATTAACGAACATTTTATTTTCATTATTCACATATTTTTTATTATATAGCTGATGATGTCAATACAGAAGAAAATATGATTACACCACCACCATCAGATGAAGAAGATATCAATAAACCAATAAAAGTTACAACAGGGAAATTGTCAAAAAAAAAAAACAAAAGGAAAAAAAAATTTGATTTGGAGGATGATGACGACGATACAGAATCATGTAAGTTGCTTATATATACTGATTTGTTGAGGATAATAATAAATTGCATTTAATAAAGTTGAAAATAATATTGGTCAAGTCGATCATGATTCTAATTCTGAAGATAATAAACAACCTGTCTTGGACTTCGACAATAACCAAGAAGCTGTAGAAGATGTTGATAATACTGCTTAAAAAGTTACAGAAGATAATGTTGCAACAGGTAAAGTTTTTTGAAATTAAGTTTGTCTATAGACAAACTACTTTACGTATACTTGTTCCTAATGAACTCTAATTATTAATATTATAGTACAAAGTAGAGCTCTTAAAACACGTATAACGGAATTCACGTGTCACGTGAAATACGTGTTTATCCAAAATATATATCCATTTTTACAATGGTAAAATTAGTAATTTTATGTTATACACTTGAAGTTTTAAATAAATATTATTAGTACAGTATTAAGTTAAGGATATACGTTTTTATTTTGAATTTTACACGTGACTCGTGACACGTGAATTCCGTGAATTCACGTGTATTAAGAGCTCTAATACAAAGCAGTATTTGATAAATTAGTATTTCACGATTATCGAAATACAAAATACTTGTGTTTTGTATTTGCCAAACCTTAAATTACTACTGATTTATATGCAAGTAATGATATAACTTAAAAAAAATAGTTTTTAAAGTAATAACATTAGTGAATCGACTATGGAATTACAATTATTAATATTTAACAATTAAAAATGTGTATTAAGTAAGGTAATTTCAAACATTTAATAATGAATTAGGTTTATGGGCATTACTCGATTAAATTTTGATTGTTATTTTAACAACTTATTATTATTATTTTTACTAGAACTATTTAGATGTCTAACTCTCATTAATTATAGCCTTATATGCATTTATATTGCAATATATCGATTTTATTTATCATACAAGTTTTTGATAAAAGATTTTTTTTTCTAATACTGATGTTATATTTAAGGCCAAATCATTTTCCATAGGTTTAGATTATAGTTTGAGTAATAATAACCCTCAAAAATATCATTTAGATCTCATGTTTATCATCGTCTAAACAGAAGGGTTCTATATGCTCAAAGTTTTAAAATTAAATATCTCCTTATATTATTGTTACAAGATAGTAAGACTTTGACTATCAGAAAGAGTTAATATTCCACTGTCTGGCCATATAAATTTTGTCTTATCATCATCGATATGAGGTTGTTACAATGATTGAATGATAAATGAAAAATAGCTCACTTTTTGTAACATACATACAAATTGTTATTTATTTTTCAGATAAATCTGAGGTCAATAACTTTAAAGAAAATGAAACTATAATCACCATAGAAGAAAAAAAGAAAAAGAAAAGTAAAAAGAAGAAAAAATAAAATGAAAACGTCGAGGAAGACATTACCACTGTTCCAATTACTGAGAGTGGTTTGTATATTTGACATGTTTTTAATTATATTCACAATTGTATATATTAAAAATGTTGAGGTATGTTTATAGTTATAGTAGACCAAGAAACAACTGATATCAGTGAAGTGCCACAAATTAATGTCAAAGAAGTGGCTCTTGAACAACATGATGTTGATGCTATTAATGATGAAGGAATTACAGTTTCTACAAATGAAGGCTTAGGTAACATGTTTTTTGAAATTTAGACAAATTAATTATATAACATTTTAAAATAATTCAGTTAATAGATATGTTATCTACTTTTTTTTTTATATTTGGCATTTTTGTTCATTTAAGAAATGTTTTTGTTGAGACAATCCATGTTAACTGTTATTTAATTCTAATTAAATTTTAATATAAATATAATTTCTATCTATTATAATGTTGTACCCTGTACAATTATGTCCACCCTGTATATTTTATTTTTGTATAGTCAATCAATTCTTTCACTGGCCTACGTGACTGCGGACATGCGAGCGAGCCTTTGGAATCTGCCGAGTGGACATATTCCAGGACTCGCTCGGGCCGAGGCGCTCACACGGAGAGGGTCACGTAGTCAGTCGGTCTAGACGCGATTACACGGCTCCACGGTTTGCCGTGTTCACAACTCCAGTTAAGCTGGATCTAGTATATTATACATTATTTTATCCATTATTTTATCTATTATTTTTAATTACAGTACACATTCATTATTTAAGTGTTTTGTTTTGTTTTAATTACAATTAATCCTCTCACTCTCTACCGTAACGCAGTGTTTAAAGAATAGATCACGGTGCGAATACTTCAATAATATTAATATCAGTTGCGCAAACAGCCAATCAACAAGCAGTAAATTTGTGGGTCGCCATTACGAAAAGGTTGGGAAACATTGCTTTAGGGAACCAATAAAACATAATTAGCGATTGTATCATAGTGTTGATTTATATTGGCTGAAACTTCTTACAGTGTCACATGATGTAGTTTGCACATTTTTAATTACAGGAATTTCTCCGAGGGTTAAATTACATTAACTGTCCTCGTTCAATTCGCAATTTAATACTTTATTAATTATAATTTTATATCCTTTAAGATTATATGTAATGCACTAATACCCAACAAAATATATCTTATCTTGGATTTTATATTAATACCTTCAACTTTTATTAAGTGTGTTTATCTTTTTCGGCCTTTAAACACAAATGAAACAAATATGGTCGACCAATACTAACTTGTGACTATGTTGAAATGGCTGATTCCATCCACGCGACCGCACCAGCCCTGTGATTAGACAATTGCCTATGACGGCACAACGCTGTGTATAAATGAAAATAAATCACAGAATTGGTACGTGCGACTATTCAAGCACAGTCACCAACGAAACAACTGCAATGTTGTGAACCGGGTAACTTGTCAACACATATGCGGAGGTGATCGTTTAAAGGTTGATTAAATAAGAGTCCAGATGTATAAGTAAAGATATTTAATTTACACAATTACAGCAAATACATATATTTTAACATAGAGAGTAAATGAAGACTAAGGACTTGCCGGCGACTTGCACAGTGTGTGTGTCGGAATACAAGTGAAGTAGTCTTCGTTCTAGCGGTAGTACGTGTTACCATGGTCTTAATGGCCCTACGTGGCATCATGCGTCAACTTATAATCACACATTAGTAATATTTCACACACCTTTCAGGATGTATGCCCTCGATTTCTAATTACAGAGGACTCAGTGAAATCGGACAATGTCCATCCGCGCTATGCATATCAAATCCATGTACTTATAACACCTCCCCAACAAAATGATGATTTAACGACAGGAAAAACCTCCATACCTGCTACCACTGTTTGTTATATTTACAAAATATACTGATATACAATTATATAATATGTAGTACTTATTTATTACAAAAATGTTCCTTATTTTCTAATGTTAGTACACATATATTAAATTTTACACTTCTGGTGCGCAAGTTTTAATTCTACTACACACGTCATGATACGATCCAATAGCTAGAATATATGGTTATATATTTATCATTTCTACATCTGGTGAGTTTCGAGGTACCACTATACTGCGCTTTAAAATATGTAAAGTCCGTTTATTTTTCTGTTTTTTTATTATCTTTACACCCACGTATGTTATCGCTATTACCACTATAATTATGAACAAATATGTATGCAAATCACTCTTGTTTTCTAATTTATTTCGATTTATCTCCTCTTCTATCATTAAATCTAATTCACTTATTGATTTTGAATAATCCCCCATATCATTTAATTTTATTATGGGTTTACTATGCGTTATTACCTTTTTTAATTTTGTCTTTATAAAATTGGGGATTGTTAAATTTGTTACTAATTCCGTCTCTGGAATAAAGTCCACATAATTAGATGAATTTAAATGCCTATTAGGTGTTAGTACCATCTGGGGTGTATATGCCCTGCATGTTTCGGCTAAAGTTATTGCTCCTATCCTTGTTAACTGTGTATTTATGGTTTGGTCTCTGTCTTCACATGATATTGCCAAATTATCCATAGATTTTATAATAAATATCCAAGTATTATGATACACACTTCGCGTTATGTCTAAATACCTAATTGAGCATGTGGCTGGCATACTAGTTGGTTTTATGAATAACTCTTTCTCACAAGGAACCTCAGTTGTTCCTAACCTTAGGGGTTGAGTTTCCGGACACAAAGTTCATGTTGCTAACTCTTTACACGTTGCTATTTGATGTGACGATAGTGTTAAATAGTACTCGTGAGTTTTATAAATGGCCATGTAGTTGAGTTCAGGTACTATATACATAAAATGATTATTTTTTCTAACAGGTAATGGTATTACATGATATAATGTTAACTCTATTGGATTTATTAAAGGGTTTATTTATTAAAGGATTTATTAAAATTTATTGATTATTTCGAATATCAGCGTTTCGTTTGAATATACTATATTTAACCTAGACATTTTACTCAATTCATAATGTTCAAATCAAACGGTAATTTTTGTTCCCGCGTTAAATTCAAAGATATATCTTTTAATTGTTTACGTAACTCGGTCACAGAGATTATGCTGGAGTGTATAATTCCTCCTTCAGCGGCCATTATTATATCACATATGGTGTCCGTTTCAAATATTAGCTGTTGGAATAATAGCGTTAGTAATGATATTTGACTGTTTATGTTGGATCGCGCTTCGGTTATATCATAATCTACAAATGTTTCGCTAACATGGATTGCTAATTGGTCGTACAAAAGCTTTAATGTATTTATTTGCTCCTGCATTTTACGAGCTTCCCTAAAGGTATTTTCAGTTGCTTTTAATATACTAGTTTGCTTTTTTTAGTATCCTCAATATGTTAGTATTACTGATTTGCAATTCCTCAATTTGTTTATTGTATAATTCTGCGTCCGTATTATCTAATGTACCAAACAATGTTTTCTGAATATTCCCTACTTTATTAATTAAACCCCTTTTTATTCTTGGATTTACTTCGGAATCGTCAATTGACTGTAACATAAAAAATTTTTTCCTAAAAATTTCTTTTTCCAGCGAGTTAGAAACTAAACGGAAGTTATTGCAATCGTTTTCGAATTTCGCGCTATAGGCGTTTGTTAGTTTATTACAAAGCCCTAATGTTTTATTATAAAATTCCATAGTATTTATAGTTCTTAAATTAAAATTATTTAACTTAATATATATTAAAAATTTCCAATCCGAATTTGTCAACCGCAATGATCCCTGATTTTCGAAATACATCCCACTTTCATGGGACATCATCGAGATCTGGTACGGTTTGGATTAAATGTATATATATTTGCTCATAGCAATGAATATAATATAATATCTAAAAAAAATAGTTTTTCTATTAAATAAACTGAATATATAAATATCAAGTATACTTTTTGTACATGATATACGTAATATAGTCAAACACTATTACAGGAAGACGACAATTAGTATGCAGATGCCTTACCATAGGTATTATAGTCAAAAGTGAGTTTCCTCTTTTGGTTTCTGAAACTTGTTCAGATTTCCCTTATAGTTGTGTACCACCTCTGACTTTTTTACAGTAAAATCCTCTGACTACCAATCTTTCGACTTCCTCATAGAGCTTATAACTCTTCTATAATTGTTTATTTATTCATGAAATAACTTAACGTTATTTCTATGTATTGTCACTACACGTTTGTCTTTTTGTATTTTTATATTATATTCCCCTTCAATCTCTGTTACCATATATGGACCTATCCGTATAGGAGAAAGTTTAGTCTTCCTAGTGTTATCTACCACTAACACTATCACCTACATGTATTGCCTCTACTTTATTATCTTTATCATAATATTCCTTAGTTTTAATTTTTGTTTTTAACAAAGTGTTTCTAGCTTCCTGATAAGTTAACTGCCTTTTTTGTTTCATTTCATATGCATAATTATCATAAGTATAACAGGGTTCTAACTGTCTTTGTAATGATGATGGTACGTGAACTGGGTTACCATAAAGTAACTCGTACGGTTGATATTGAGTACTTTCATGTACAGCTGAATTAAATGAAAATACTACAAATGGTAAATGTTCACACCAGTCTTGTGCATACTTATCGACATAATGCCGTAGCATTTCTTTAATTACCCTGTGTGTTCTTTGTGTTCTTTCCAACCCCCCATTGGTTTGTGGGTGATATGGGCTAGCCAACATTTTAACTATTTTTAGAATTTTACAGGTTTTATTAAATATTTCGCTAACAAATTCAGGTCCATTATCGGTCAACATACTCATGGGTAATCCATGAATACATACGAAGTTGGTTACAAATGCCTTTGCAATTGTATTAGCCCTGTGATCTTCTATCGGAATTGCTAATAAAAATTTTGTAAGGTCATCCTGAATTGTTAGTATGTATGAATTGTTTTTATAAGATGTAGTTAATTTTCTTACTACATCCGAAAATATCTTTTGAAACGGTTTAGTAGATGTTGTTGTTATGGCCATGGGAATCTTATTTTTCTTTGAATACTTATTTTGTTGATATGACCTACAACTTTTTATATATTTTTTTACATCTTTTCTAATACCTTTCCACAATTCGAGCAGGATTTTTTAATTTATTACTATCCGTGTCCTCTATATTTACTTGAGCTATCATTACATCCGTGAATGTTTCGAATTCTAATTGGTTTAGACATAATGGTGCTAACGTTTTTTCCTCGTCCGATAAATTAATAACACTAACTAATACGTGCCCATTCCTGACTGTACTTAACACATTCCCTATTATCAATTGGTCTTTTATTTCGGTACGTTCAATTAATATGTGCTCTTGGTCACGAGCAACTGAATGGGTGGCCAATGCCATAATATATTCTACGCGTGGTGGAATTTTTATTTCACCTTCCAATGTAATTGTGTCGTATTCTAAATTTATCATCGATTTTTATAATTTTAAAAACGTTTGCCCTAATATTCCAGACTTAATCGTGGCTACCTCATTTTCTACTATATAGAACATTGTACTCCCTATTTTAGTATTATTCACTACTAATGGAATTTCTACTATACCTAATGTTTTTGTTAATTTATTATTTATTCCCTTTAAATATATTTGATTACCGAGTATTAATTTTACGTTCTCTTTTAACTCTGCCAAACGAACAACATTAACTCTACTACCGGTATCTACTAGAAATTCGGCTTTATTATTAATAAAACTAGAAGACTCGCATTCGATATGATAGTCTTCTAATGCTACGGTTACTTGCATTACACTATGTATGCCCCTAAGATCACCGACCACACAAGGGCTTTCTATTCTTGTGGTCGTGTCTCGTTTCCCGAATTATTTTCCTCCTTTTGTTTCCTTTTTTCTAAATTTTTCTTTTTATAACACTAGATTTCCGTATGCCCATTTTTAGAGTAGAAGGCACATATTACAAAAGTTCTAACAATTGGTTTATTAGTATTTTTACTATCGATGTTTTTATCTTTTTTATTTCGGCAATCCCTAGCATAGTGTCCATACTTTCCACACGTATGACACGTACCCTTATTATAACTTTGAGCGGATCTATTTTTAGTCCTATCTTTTTCTTAATCAAAGTTATTACTATTATTGTTATGTTGTGTTAAATTATTTTTTTCCTCTGCTAAAGCGATCTGTACTGCCTCTTCTAACGTTTTAGGATTTTTACTTTTAACCATAACTTTAATGTATTTAGAAACTCCCTCTAAAAATATATTTAACGCTTGCTCCCTTAAATTATTGCTAATTACTAGTGCATCATTCTTACATTTTCCTTGAGTATTTCCTTCAGAAACTTCTTTTAGTAAGTTACGTAATCTGTTCACATATTCTATTACAGACTCTTTAAAATTTTGTTTCGCACTATATAGCTCTATCTGCAAATACGCTACATTCTTAGGTTTCTCATAAGCATTCTTCAATAATTCCTTTAATGCTTCTAGACTACTTATAGTCTCATATTTTATTACCTCATATGCCTGACCTCTTAGCTTAGTTACGATTGTCCTCAACATAATGTCAATATCTGTTTCTGGAGTTATCTCCGCAACTAAATCACAAGCATTGGTAAAAAATACTAAGTCCTCATTCACACCTCCACTAAATTCTGGTATTAATTTTACTACTCGGTCTACGGTCTTATCTTTAGTACTAGTTGTATTCAACATTCCAGGGGACACCTCTCTCTCACTATTACCACCCATGGTCGTCATACTGGCTACAGACATATTATCAGCAGTGGTACCTACTATTATCTTACGAACAGCTGTTTCAGAGAGATTAAGTAAGGATAGTTCGTCCTCTAATGTGATATTTAAACTACTACGACGCGTATCAGACATGTATTAGTAAAATTAAAAAATGCTTACAATCTGCTGGTCATTTGAAAAGAAAAACGTTCCTTCGTAGATGGTTGACTTGTCGACTGGTTCGCTTCGAGTGTCGCTCAACGTTGACTGCTGTCTTCGTGAACGGAGAAGAGACCTCTGTAGTTGACGTTTGACGACTGTAGAGATCCCTGGTTCGGCACCAAAATTTGTTCCCTGTTGTGAACCGGGTAACTTGTCAACACATATGCGGAGGTGATCGTTTAAAGGTTGATTAAATAAGAGTCCAGATGTATAAGTAAAGTTATTTAATTTATACAATTACAGCAAATACATATATTTTAACATAGAGAGTAAATGAAGACTAAGGAATTGCCGGCGACTTGCACAGTGTGTGTGTCGGAATACAAGTGAAGTAGTCCTTATGTCTTCTGACTTATATACCAAACAGCAATAGGATGTACAGAAAGTTGTCCTCGTTCTGGCGGTAGTACGTGTTACCATGGTCTTAATGGCCCTACGTGGCATCATGCGTCAACTTATAATCACACATTAGTAATATTTCACACACCTTTGCAGGATGTATGCCCTCGATTTCTAATTACAGAGGACTCAGTGAAATTGGATAATGCCCATCCGCGCTGTGCATATCAAATCCATGTATTTACAACAGCAATGGTCCACAGCACTGGATAATGACACAATGAATGAAAAACACGTTATTCACAAAACGAAAATGACACTACTCAAAAAACGTGGCTGCGGACGTACGAAAACTTGAAACGAAATGAAATTTGATGTGCACACCACGAAGACACAAAAACGAGAGCGATATGGGGCTGACGACATTCACCACGAAGGCTAAGGCCGCCGGACACCGCAAAATGAAGATAAATGTCTCAATGCCACCACACTAAACCAAAAAACACGAGAACTTATGAAACTTTGTGGCACTGAGAACATGACTTTTACTTTTACAAAAACATAACCGCAAAACTTGAAAACGTGGAAATAACGACACCTTCATGCGATGATAACAGCACGATTGCGTACCCGGCCGGTCGCATACTGAGGCTTATCACCGCCGCCGACGAGGGCTGCGGATACCTTAGATCATATACAATTATATTGTATATATTGTATATGATCTATGGCGGATACGCTACGCATCGCACGAAAATGATAACATAAAATGACAAACAAATGAATTGATACAACATGAACATATAATATTACATTATATTATATTATATTATATTTTATTTATATTTGAATACTTATTAGATCAACGTGATCAAGAAATGGTGAACCTAGAATCTAAATCTGATAATCTTTCCCACAAAGAGAAAAAGAAAATGAAAAAAGAAGTAAGTAATTTTGTGACCATATTATTATTATAATTTATATAACAGGCCTGAATAATCATCTTTTATTGTAATAATGAGTTTCATTAATATTAGAACTTTAATTATTTATAATTTGTTGATTTTGTTGTGTTACTATTAAGTTGGAGTATCAAAAACAAATGGAGATGTTGACCAAAAAAGGAGGCCAGGGCCATAGTGAGCTAGGTGCCAATTTCTCAGTATCACAGATACAAAAGACAGCTGGTCAACTAGCAGCTATGGAACATGCGGTTGATATCAAAATTGATAGCTTTAGCATTGCAGCCAAGGGCCAGGACTTATTTGTCAACGCCAGTCTACTTATCGCACAAGGTCGGCGGTATGGTTTGGTTGGACCAAATGGTCACGGTAAAACAACGTTACTCAGACATATTGCTGAACGGTTATTTGATGTTCCACCAAGCATCGACATACTATATTGTGAACAGGAAGTAGTAGCAGATGAAAC